AGGGACAGGGGCGTGGCCACCTGACATATGGGGCTGAGCCACATCGGGAAGGGGGCGGAGCCTCAGGGAGAGCAGGTACACTGCTCTGCAGGTGAGAAACGTCAGGCTGACAGAACTGGACCTTCAGAACCTTCAGGTCTAGCAGATGGTTCTGATAGAGTCCAGGTTAGCGAGGTGAACCAGAACCAGAGAACACATTAGGTCTTGGTTCTGGCTGGTAGAACCAGCTCTAATAACTCCACTTGTTGGACCCAAACTGGTATCAAATCAGGATCAGAACCCGACTGGTCCAAATGGGCCTACATGTTGGTTCTAATACACAGACCGGGTCTTCCTGCCAAACCACCGGAATTTGTTAAGGTTAATTGGTTTAACTTTGATTAGATCTCATCTGGGTCAGTGTTAGTTCTGCTCCATGTGGAGAAACTCATCAGTAACCAGGAATCATACCAGAGATCAGAACTGGACCAGAACCGGACCAGCTCTGGTTTCCTCTCTGCTTTATAGTTTCTCCTGGCTGATCTTCCTCTCATCAACTCAACTTCCTCTTCCTCCTGCAGCAGCCAAAGCTGTTCTGCTTCTGACCCGTATTACCTTATTAAACTCATCAGCTCTGATCTTTACTGAATCTGAAACTATGAAAAAATTAATTAACCTGACATTAATAACATTTATTTAGTAATTTTTGGAAACTATGTAAAATAAATTTATCTTATTTATTTTAACTAGTTTTTATCAAACATTTGTGACAGTAAAATAACAATTACACAAATGCTAAGTTCAAATATTATTAAATTAAAAACAATAAAATGCTTTACAAAATTGTGTTTTATTAAATTTAAGAAAATAAAATTTTAACAGTAAAGTTTACAATCATCATTATCATCAATAAAATGTATTTATAAAGCAGTTTTACAGTCATAAAATAAAAGCATAAAAATAAAGTGACCAAACTAAGCACACAGTAATGAATTCAAAACTCAATTCATAACATAATAAAACGACACAGTTAATCCAATAAAATCAATACTAATAAAAGTTAAATCAGTCCCAGTTTAGTTGGAGGCCAGTGAATGTTCATAATATGTTTTCAGACGGTTGACATGTTGAATGTGTAAAAATATCTAGAATTTATTTTCTATAATTAAGAAATCCAACAATAAAAGTTAAAACTGTTAAATTATTTAGTTATATGGTCTTGTTTGAAATATATTATGTTTTCAATTTTTAAATATTTAACATCTTTCTAATTTTCAACTTGAGTTCATTTTGCTTTTCTTTGTCACATTTCAGATTGTTTTCTGATCAATAAATATAATATAATTGTATTATATAATATCATAATAAAATAATAATTGTATTATGTAATAATAATAATAATAATAATTACCATTAATTTCATAAGTTAATTACAACAACCGACATTATTAATATAATGCTTTTATCAGTAAAGTGTAAAGAAAACCTGAACATCTAAATTCATATGAATTTATATTTCATATGAATTTCATCACAGAGAAATGATAATGATATATATATATATATATATATATATATATATATATATATATATATATATATATATATAAAATTAATTACATAACAAAATATAAAAAATGTATTATTTATATTTTTATATTTTAACATTTTAATAATTTAAACTTTAATATTGTTAAATAATTACGTTAAATATTTGCTCATTAAATATGTTCTAAAACTAAAACAAAAGTGAAGTGACATTTATATAAAAGCGTTTTCATAGTGAATAAAACCTGCGGTTACCTGGAACACCTGAGCTGATAGCTGCCGGTACCGGGTGGAGAACTGGGAATGAACTGGGAACACTGGTCCAGTCCAGCGAGAGCTGAGGAAGCTGGTCCTCCGGTTTGCTCAGCGGGGAATACCAGTAGTCTGCCGCCGGTGGGAGCGATGCTAATCTGGGCTAATCAGGCCTTTACTGCCGCTGCTTTACGGCTTTGTGTTGATCCTCCATCAGCGCCAATAGCCGTATTAGGGCCAGTTAGCATATTGTAAATGAAAGTTTATGGGAAAATGACCCATAAACAGGCGGCTATATAAGCCTGGGAGTTTATGGGCTGCGAGGGGTGCACTTACTTACGCTCTTTTATTTGCTCTAATCATTGTTTATGGAGCAGCGGGAGCAGAACAGAGGAGATGTCTCTGCAGCGGTTCGGAGGCCCGGAGGCCCCAGGTCCGGACCAGCAGCCGGCCCGCGGCTGGCAGCCATTTTGTCCGGAGGAGCAGAAATGTGTCCTAAAATGGCCGCTGTCAGCTAAGCCTTCACCAGCTTCCTGAACTCGGAGGCTGACTGATTTCGGACCTTCCCCGCCCGAACCCAGCTGGGCCCAGCTGAACCTACCCGACCCACCTGGACCCAGAGACCAGCAAAACCAGGAAGAACATTCCAGAATTGAGTTGCAGGTGAACATGGAGCAGCGGAGCAGCGTTTCTCGGTCGGCGGCACTTCCTGCTCGGCCTCCTGCTGCTGCTGGATGAACTTTGACCCAAGATAAGAGGCCAGGTTGTTGTTCCTCATTAACAAAGAGCAACTCCCCACCAGATCGGGTCGTAAACCTGCTGGTTCTGCTGGGAGTCCTAAAGTCAGGCTGCAGACCTGGAGAACCAGAACCAGCAGGTCCGATTACCAGTTTACTCAGTTCACAACCCAAAACAGGGCTTTGAACCAGAACCATTACCTTCCAACAGCAGAGATGTGATGGATCCATCACCTCTGGTTTCTACAGGTTTTCATCAGATTAACCATCAAACTATTGCAGGACTTTGAAGCATGATGCCACCGCCACCATGCGGACTTCTGTCTGCTCTGTCCTCCCTGGAGGATCCAGTCTCTGATGGTCCAATAGGGACCAGAACCTGGACATGATCATCTGTCCAACAGTCTGTCGACATGGAAACGGGGTGAAGTGTGCGGAGCATCAGGGTTAAAGGTTCTGACCAATCAGAGAAAACCTGCAGATTGTCTGAGCTTCTAGAGCAATCAGGTGTTTAAGACAACATCTCAGTCACATCCAGACATTTTGATGTCTCTGACTCAAATTAAGGAAAATTAATGTTAGAAAATGTCAAAAATGTTCAAATCAGAGGAAGAATCAGCTTCCAGATCGTTTCTGTTTGGGACGTTTCCCCCTCAGAGATCTGCAGCTCCTCCCTCCTCCAACATTTCTGCGTCTCTGAGGAGAAGCCATCTTTACTGCGTCCATCCCATAATAAACTTTATGGCTTCGCTCTCATTATGTCTGTTTGCCCAAAAATGAGCAGAGGAGCAGCAGCAGCTGCAAACACCCAGATACTCTGGATTCCTCTGACTGGGGAGACTGGATCCGATCAGGTTAAAGGATCCAGATCTGATCCAGATCAGATCCTGTGTTTCTGTCGTTACATATAAACAAACCTATAAGGTCTGACTCTGGACTCTTAATCCAGGTAGATGTTCAACCTGCAGCTCGGTTTCTTCTCCTGGCAGCTCCACCCCTAGGAAACAGAGTGGGGCTCAGAGAACCAACAGAACTGGGCTTTTTCTGAACCAATCCGATAAAGGAGACAATGTAAGGGTTAATCCCCCGACCCTAACCCAGCCTTCCATCAAATCCACATCCAGAATGGACCAGACCCTCACAGAACCCGACACTTTATCTTTCCGTCACTGATTTCCTGTCAATAATATCAAAAAATTACCTGATTTACGTTTGTTAAATATTCACCTTTAATCCTGGAAAAAATATAATGAAACATTTTCACAATAAAAATGTGACCCTAATCTCAGGTTTCCAACATTTCTTCAGAGTATTTCTGTTTCTGCTCTCAGTGACTCGGCACATTTTCACACTCAGGTCACACTAACGAGGAGGCGTGGCCTAAACATATGTGGCATGACGACACGTGCGCTTCATGACGTCATCTGCTGGTATCACAGATGTTAATGAGTTATATAAACGATAAGGGTTCAGGTCAAGGTGTTTATGACTGTAAATAGGAACTACTGATTCTACCGGGTCACAAAAAGAAAAAATATTTCACTTTAATTCATAAAGTTAAAAATCAATCGATTGGGTTGAACAATTTAGAGTATGAACGAAAGTTTCTGAGTAAAAACATCAAAATAAAATCTTAAAATTTTCTCTGAGCTGTTCTGAACATTGTTCAGAACCGTAATGAGGTTCTGATTTGTCCGGAGCTGCTGGAGCGTCTGCAGCCTTCAAACGGCAACGGAAAGTCAAGGCCAGGAAATACCTGGTCGTAATCAGCTTCACTTCATAACCAGGTGATTTATGATTCAAGCTGTAAAGATGTTTGATTCAGAAACAGAAACGGATCAGTTCAGGAGTTCCTCAGGGCTGACGGCTCGAGTCTCTTTTTGAATTTAAAACTTTTTTTAAAAACTTTTGATTTCTAAGAGTTTCAAGACCAATGATCCCTGAAGATCTGTCTCATTTGGTCACAGAACGAAGGTCTCAAGTTCAAGACGCTGGTCTTCCTGGTTAGCTGCCACACGCACACACACACACACACACGCACACACTCACACACACACGCACACACACACACGCACACACACACACTCGCCCACAGCAGATAGTGTGTATCAGTGTCAGATAGGGCTGTTGTTGAAGGACAAAGGTCTCATTGTGGACAGATAGCAGATCCTGTGTTTGCCCTTTGGACGCCACACCTCAACCGATGCGCCGCTCAGCAAACACGGTTCTGTTTGAGCAGAACTCCAGAACAGCTTATTAAAAACAGACAATCGATGCTCTGGGTCCGATCAGGCCCGGTTCAGTGGTTCCACCATGTCTGCTGGTTCTGATTCCTGAAACATTTGATCGATGGGCGTCGAGGCGAGCCGATCAGCAGGAACAGGACGTTTACCCGACCAGGACATCCTGACCGGCTCTGGGTTCTGAGTCTGGGGTCTGGACCCGGAAGTCCAGGACAGCAGAGCAAAAACACCAACACAAACGTTCACAATAAAACTTTTAATTTTTAATAAAAATGACATTTGAAATGTACAAATGATAAATTCTAAAATCACCAACATTTACAGGAAATCAGAGCAAAAACAAACATCAGCAGGAACTTCTGGAGAACTTGGTTCCTACAGAGCTGGACCAGAACCTGAACCTGATCAGAACCACCAGTCGGGTCAGGATCTGGAGTTCTAATTCCAAATATTTCAGCTTCTGGATGTTGAAACTTTGAGGTGCAAACTTTTTCCCTCCCGGTTTTACTGGATCAATGGAACCAGACCAATTAAAGTTCTGGTCCAGATTCTCCCTCCAGAACATCTCTCAAGATGCTGTTACCACGTAAACAACGAGAGGAGAGGCTTTGATTGGTCCACCAGAAATAGAAAGTTGAATTATTAATGATTAATGATTTCATAGACTGGGCTGGACAACTGGTCACCAGTTACTGGTTCCCTGACTCTTCATTTTATGATCATGTTTTAATATCTAAACAGTTTTTTTTTTAATCTGTGGATTATTTTACTTTATCTTTTTTTATAACAGCTTTTTAAAAATTGTTTTCAGGACGTCTGATGTCATAATATTCATGCAGATTGCATCAACATTCCTTCAGATGTTTTATTAAGAATTAAATAAACATTCAAGTTATTTTTATGTTTTTATTCTTTTCTAATTAAACATAAAATCTGCTTCTAGCTATTTACTTGTGTTTTAGTGTCTAAATTCCCAAAATAAAATGATTGAAGAAGAAAATAGATAAATAAACGCTTAATCTGGAAAGTTTAGACCATTTTTGAAGTTTTTCATATTGATCATATTGATCATATTAATCTGGACAGGAAATTATCCTCAGGATTAAAACTTTAAAACAAAAATATTTACCTCAATTCATCAAGTTATTATTGATATTATTGTTGATATTATTGTATTTCTGAGACGACTGACAGGTAAACATGCTGATAAATAAATCTGACAAATTCTTTATACAAATGTATAAAATTCAAAATGTATGGTTCTGATGAGTCCGAATGATTAACTGTTACAGTAACATTAGAAAATAAAATAACCTATAAAAGCAATTTCTTCCGTTTTAGTAAGATGTCCAATAAAAAGTTATGTTTTTCATTTCAATACAGTTTTAAAATATTTCTTGTGGAATAAAGAAAAGAAAAAAACTCCAGAGTTTTACATCCAGAAAAAATGGGAAAATGATTCTGACTGAAGTCTCCAAAACCACCAGAACCAATCAGAACCGACGGGTTCTGACCATTAGTTTTACCATCAGCTGTCGAACAGTCTGAAGGTAAAAAAACAAAAAACAAAAAACGTAACGATGAGTCAGCAGGTCCAGATCCAGTGGACAGCAGTCTCTGCTGTTGGCTGAGGGTCTCAGGTTCTGTACAGAGCAGGTCGGGTCCAGCAGCTCCACCAGAACCCAGGAGGAGCTCAGGGTTCACGTGACCTCCTGTCAGCCAATCAGAAACCAGAGCAGATCTTCCTGAAGCTCCGTGACCTTTGCATCCCCGGCCTGGAGTTGATTGGTCCAACCACCAGAGGAGCCGAGTTCTGGAGCAATCAGAGCTCTTCCAGCCATTCCTGATCAAACAGCCAGAGAAAGTTTGGTGGAAGGACGACTCCTTCTGCGGTTTAACCCCTCAGTACTCCTCCTTGATGTTCAGAGTCAGAGACGATGGAGACACTAGCCCGTTGCTGCTGCTGCTGCTGGTTACCATGGCAACGCTGCTGCTGCTGTTGAGCGCGACCCCTCCGGTGCTGCAGGAGGGGGGGGTGGGCGTGGTGGTGGAGGAGGCCGGCTGCTGCAGCTTCTTCTTGTTGATCTTCCTCTCCTTCGCTCGGCGGTTCTGGAACCAGATCTTCACCTGGAAATGGATCAGAACGTTGGTTTTGCAGAACACGGCTGGTCGGTTTGTGTTTCCAAATGATTTACTCAAAGATGGACGACAAACTTTTACATCACGTCATATCGGTTAAAAACAGAGAGATCTGCCACAGAGCCTCAACTAGGAAGCTGTGGAAGTTCTTCCTGATGATCGGATTGGTTCGGAGCAGAGCGGATCAAATCGGAGTGTACCTGTCTCTCTGATAGGCTGAGCGCCGTGGCCAGCTCCGCCTTCCTCCGGATGGTGATGTACTTGCTGTAGTGGAACTCCTTCTCCAGCTCTAGCCGCTGGTGGTCGGTGTACACCACCCGATATTTGTCCTTGGTACGAGTTTTACCATCTGGAAGAAGAGAAGAAAAGAGAGGCTGAGGATCCAGAGGATGACAGGTCACATGACCCACCATCATCCATCCATCCATCCATCCATCCATCCATCCATCCATCCATCCATCCATCCATCCATCCATCCATCATCCATCAATCTATCCATCCATCCATCCATCATCCTTCCATCCATCCATCCATCATCCATCCATCCATCCATCCATCCATCCATCCACCATCCATCCATCAATCTATCCATCCATCCATCAATCTATCCATCCATCCATCCATCCATCCATCCATCCATCAATCTATCCATCCATCCACCATCCATCCATCCACCATCCATCCATCCATCAATCTATCCATCCATCCATCCATCAATCTATCCATCCATCCATCATCCATCTATCCATCCATCCATCCATCCATCCATCCATCCATCCATCCATCCATCCATCCATCCATCATCCATCCATCTATCCATCCATCCATCAATGTATCCATCCATCCATCATCCATCTATCTATCCATCCATCCATCCATCCATCCATCCACCATCCATCAATCATCCATCAATCGTCCATCCATCATCCATCCATCTATCCATCCATCCATCATCCATCCATCCATCCATCCATCTATCCATCCATCCACCATCCATCCATCATCCATCAATCGTCCATCCATCCATCCATCCATCAATCTATCCATCCATCCATCCATCCATCCATCCATCCATCCATCCATCCATCCACCATTCCATCCATCCACCATTCCATCCATCCATCCATCCATCCATCCATCCATCCATCCATCCATCCATCCATCCATCCATCCATCCATCCATTGCTTGTGAACATCAGATTCCTCACTGTGTTTGTAATCATAACAGTTTTTAATGACATCACTTCCTGTTGGATCAATACGTAAATAATCAGAGGGTCATAGACTGATTATTTTGACCCGGTTCTGACCAGCCGTGACCCGGTTCTGCAGCAGGATTTCTTCCTCTCAGCTACAGCTTTTAATCACTTCGGCTGTCAGTATGTAAAGATGTGAGTTTTTGCAGGATGCCAACGGCAGACCGGTTCTCACTGGACGCCTGCATCCACTCAGTTTATCAAATTTAATTTGTTTACGGCCTCAGAGACCGACTGATCTCTTCCAGGCCGGAGCCTACATCACCGACACGGCACCTGTAGCCGCAGCTGGAGGTCAGAGATATTATCAGAAAGCAATATGTCCACTGTGGCCATTTCAGATGATTAGTCAACAATTACTAAATCACTAAATTAGTTGGGGATCATTTCAATCATCAACTAATTCAATGAATCAATCGTTTCTGTTTGGACCAAAGAAAAGAAGTGGCTGGAGGTGGGGCTTAGGAGACCAGCAGCCAATCAGCAAACTGGAAACTGATCATCTCGTCTCATAACTTCACCGGGCCGAACCAACAGACCGGGTCAGACTCTCAGACGGAATCAAACCGGTGCATAAAACACAACCAGGTACCGCTGATATTCTCTAGCTGGTTCTGATCCAGTTGGTTCTGTTCACAAATCTTCTGGTCCAGATGGTGGAGCGTCCATCAGGACTGGTTCTAGTCCAGTGAACCGGTCCAGTGAGATCCATGCTCACTGAATCCAGTCCAGTCAGAACTTTTGGAGTAAGTCAGAGGCTCAGCAGGGTTAAAGTTCTGGTGACTGATGGTCACCAGAACTTCTGAGCGGATCACACTCGGGTTGGGATGAATGGTTTTGTAGAGTCGGGTCAGACTCTTCAAAACCTGGATGGCTCATCCTTCAGAATCTGCCCCTGACTAGTTGGAACCGGCTTGGATCCAGGAGACAGAACCAGTCTGAGGAAACAGGAGGCAGCACCAACCTGAACCGGTCCGGTTCTGTCTGTCAGAGCGTGACAACTAGATCTGTCATCAACAACATCAACCAGAACCCAAAGAGGTCCGGTTCAGTTCATTAGTGGTCCAGCATTTCAGAACCAAAGGAATATATGTCGGAACCAACACCGGCCCCATCTGATCAGAATCGACCTGAACAAAGGGTCACAGAAACCAAACTGACCCTTGACCTGGAGGTCAGAACTGACGCCAGCCTGATCCCATCAGAACCGACCCGACTCAGAATTATTCTGTCGATTTCCAGAACTTGATTTTCTTCAGACCCGTTTGAAGCTCCAATACAGATTGTGACAGTTCTGCTGCTTTGACCTTTGACCTCTCAGGTCACCGTCTCTTCTGACCGACGGCCGACAGCAGAACTGTTTCTGTTCATCTCAGCCAATCAGAACGAAGCAAAGAAAAAAACAAAAGAGAAAATTAAATAATTTAAATAAATATATAAAATTATTTCATTTCATTTATTTATTTAAATAATTTCTAACAGAAAAAATAATCTGAAGTTAAAAGGTTCTGGATTGTTTTGGAAGGTCCAGACATTCTGGTTCTACTGGGTTCTATCGGCAAGAAGGGTTCGGGTTTTTGTGGTCCGGTAGAGAGAAGGTGGTTCCGGGTTCTGGCCACTGTAACCATGGCAACAACAGTTCCTCAGAATTATTCTGTCGATCAAATCAGTTTTTATGAGTTTTGAGCCAAATCTCGGAAATATTCAATTTTCTGATGGAGAATCGATATTTCCGTCAACCCGACGGAACCCCGGACTGATCCGGATCAGAACCGGATGAAGGTTTTCCCTCCAAAGTCAGAACCAGATTTGGGTTTCTATTATTCGGATCAGAAAAGGAGCAGTAACTTCTTTTCGGTTCTGTTCCGAGTCCAGAACCGCAGGTTGTGATATTTTAGTTCTGGATTAATCGGAGTGAAATGTTTCGGTTCCGTTGGAGAAAGGCTGCTGTTGTTATTATTATTGTTGTTGTTGTTGCTATTGTCATTATTAAAATAAAATATGATGTAAAAAAATGAATTAAATATTTGGGAAAATCCGAACATCAGATTCAAATTAAATGATAAATAATATAAATGTAACATTTAATGACAGTGCAGTTACAAGGCCGCGTTATAATAATAATAATAATAATAATAATAATAATAATAATAATAATAATAATAATAATAATAATAATAATAATAATAATAATGCTAAATGATTAGTTTATTGTATTTCCTGCCTGGGTCTCGCAGCTGTTCAAGCTGACTCGTATCACCTCAGTTTTCATATCAGCCTCATATTAAAATGTCCAACAGTTCTCTGCTGGGAGCGCCGGGACTGCCGGTCGGAACTGCTCCCAGCCGAACCACTGGGAACGGAACATTTTCCATGTTCATCTAAGAATAAACCGATAAATTTAAAGTTTTATGATGTTTAATATTTTGCAGCGTCGGTACCGTCTGCCGGCCCAGTTGCTGATTTTGGTTCCGGCTCTTACTCGGGTTGCTGGGAGGCGCAGAGGTTCGGATCCAGTCGTACGGGTTCCTCCTCCTAGGGGAGCCGGGGGACAGCTGCCCCGTGGACGGGTTGAGGGCGGCGGGCAGCAGTGCGGCCGGCTGACCGGAGAACTCCTGGAAGCTCAGCGCGGGCCCGGCGCCCGCGGTCGGAGCGCCCACGGCGGCGGCGTACTGGTGCGCAGTCCAGTCCTCCCGGGCCGGCGGCGGCGGGTAAGCCGGGCTCCATCCGCCGGCGCCTGGCCCGGCCTGCTGCGGCTCCGCGCTCAGGCCGTGGTGGTGGTGGTGGTGGTACCCGGGAAAGTCCGGGTACTGCGGCGGGCCTGGTACCGGGAAGTTCTGCGGGCTGAGGCTGAGCCCCGGGTGGCGGCTCACCGGGTTCTGGTGCGGGTACATGGTGGGCTCCTTGTCCAGCTGCAGGTAACTGACGTACATCTTGCCAGGTGAGGGCTCTCCCTCAGCATACTGCGGCTCCAGCCTGCCTGATGCCGCTCACCTGTCTGCAGGTGAGCTCTGTGTCCTGTGGCCTGCGCGCGCCTCCACCTGCTACCTGCCGGCCGCCCTGTGAGTCTGCGCGCGCTGCGGCTGCGCCAGGTATAAACGGCCGCGGTCACATGGTCCGTTTATGGTCCGATATCCTCCTCTTCCTCCCGCAGCCTTCATCTGGAGCTCGACATCATCATCATCATCATCATCATCATCATGCCCAGGGGGGCATTTACACTTCAAAGGGTCGCGATCCATTTCTCTATAAAGAACCAAAAATTAGCTGAAATGAAAATGTCTGATCATTTATGACAGTTTATCTCCATTCATTCATTTTAACTGAGCTAAAATCTAAAACACGAGAAAATCATATGATCTACTTTTATTTAAGTTAAACTCGTTCTGAGAGCTTGAACTTAATATTAATCATGTTTTAATTTCGATTAATTATTGGCATTTATTATTATTATCATCATTTTACATGAGTTTCGGCTTCAACTGATTATTAATAGTTAACGAATTTAATTACAAAATACGCCTTCAGAATAAATTCTTATTAATAATAATAATAATAATAATAATAATAATAATAATAATAATAATAATACTTTTTAGCGATCGAAGCTGTTTTCATTGATTCAGTTGATTTTGAATTAAACATTTATACAAAATTGAATCGTATTTAAAAATAACCATTGAGTTGGTTTGAATTCATCAGGATTATAAAGGTCATATTTAATAAATTTAAACATTTATCAAATATGATTTATTTAATTAATTTATTTTGTTATTCATTTATGTATTTAGTTAGTTAGTTTGAGGTGCTGATTCTGATGAAACCAGCAGCGGTTCGATTCGCAGGTTTATTTTCCATATGAATAAATAATCATAAAGATGTTCAAAGAGTAAAACAGACTTTTAGCAAAGATTTCATTTTCATATGAATAAATATGAATGTATTTCACAGACTGAGGAGGCAGAGAAAAGTAAAAGCGTTTTATAATTATAGTTAAAAACGTAAACGTTTACTGACGTCACCTTCCTCCGTTTCTGTTATTAAACATTCTGACCCGGTTCGTTTTTTACTCCGTATAAATATCAATGTTGGACCAGAGCAGTGAGAGCCACGCACACCTGCTAAACTGGACACGCAGGAATGTTCGCAGGTGTGTGTGTGTGTGTGTGTGTGTGTGTGTGTGTGTGTGTGTGTGTGTGTGTGTGTGTGTGTGTGTCTATTTCATTATAGTTTATATAAAAAACACATTTAACCAGACACGAATCACATCTGATTATGTTTCTACATGTTTTTATTGTTCTGATTTGATATTACATTTTTATTTTTGAAAAATTTCTTGACATTAATAAAGACTTAAAAATCTCTGCCCTGTTTTTCTGCAGTGACCAGATTATTTCATTATTCCCATATTTCCTGGCTCCAACTCTTCCGGTTCTGTCGGGAATATTTCTCACGTTTTCTCTCATGAATCCGCTTCGTGTTTTCAAGTTTTTTTCTTTCTCTCTCCGAGGGACTCGAACCGACAACCCTGAAGGAGCCTCCGCGGCCTCCCGTGCAGGAATGACCTGCGTCTTTATGGATTTATGGGAGATTTATTGTTTTACGCTGATGAGTATTTAGTTTAGTGCGGCGCCGTAAAGCCGCGTAAAGCTTCACTTTTCATCTTTTCAAGTGTTTGATTGGAGCTTTAATGATGTTTAAACTTCTGCCTCAGATCATCGCTGCGGCCCCGCGCGCCGCGGCCATTTGTTGTTTACAAACATTCACTCTCGAATCATACACAACATTTCAGAAATATTACAGTTTTTAATTGGTTCCATTTTAAAGGTCCAAATCTTTTTTGTTTTTTTCCCCTTCCATTTATTTTATTTATGTAGGCAATTGTTGATGATTTAGACATTACTACTACTACTACTACTATTATTATTATTATTATTATTATTATTATTATTATTATTATTATTATTATTATTATTATTATTATTATTATTATTATTATTATTATTATTAATTAAAGAATCGGTTCAGCTGGAATATTAATGAATCATTTCTAATTGAATCATAAATAAATAAATGAAGAGGAATCAATGATCAGATCGATGCTTCTTCTGTTTCCAGGGAAAAAAACAACAACAACAACTCAGAATTTAAAGAAAAAGATCCCGATTTTCAGAATTGATCCGGAATCGGGACAATGGACCCGTTCACTATTTCTGTCTGAACTGTTATGTTTCATTTTTTTTTTTTTTTTTGCTTCATGTGAACTTTGAACGTTTTCTGGAATCCAACAGAGAAACGAGAGAGGTTCTGGAGCGTTCCCGCAGTTCCGGTTCTGATTCTGTTGGACCGGTCCAATTCATGCAGTCCTTCAGTTAAACGGCGAGGAGCTCAAGGTTCTGGAGAAGAAGCAAGAAAGTGGCTCCAGATCCAACCGGGAAAAGGTTCCGACTGGACCGAGCAGAACTAGGACCGGAACCAGAACCGGGAGCCGGCGGTGACCTGAGAGAGGTTCTGTTTTCCTTCACCTGTCTGCAGGTGAATCATTAAACCCCGAGGCTCATAAAACTTCACTTTACGGAGAATGATGATGATGGAGGGTCATAAATGATGAAGAATGGGGTCAGAGCCGACACGAGACCTTCAAAATAAAAGCCTGGTTCTGAAAATAAAATCAGAAACAACTACAATAATAATAATAATAATATATTGACATATGTTCACTTTTACTTTGCTTATGTTATTAAGTTGGTGCTAAAAACGTAGAAATAAATTCTGGGAACCTGTAAAGCGGACCGAACCAAACTGGACCGGAACTCTCAGCAGCCATGTTGGCTTCCAGCTGGTTTCTGTTGTAGCCTCGATAGAAACATAGTTTATTATCATAATTAAGAATAATATTTCTGATGAGGGAATCAAGTGTCTTTCTGTCCGCTGTTCTCTGCTGCCCCCTGCTGGCACCGTCGGCCTCTGCATCATTTAAAAGGAGCTGACTGGTTCCTAGTTTCTGACTGTGGACCAACCGGTCTACATGTCTTTTGTGGACTTGGAGAAGGCGTTCGACCTTGTCCCTTGGGGAGCCCTCCAGTAGAACCAGGACACCAGGGCCTTTGATACGGGCTGCTGGCAGCAAGTCGGGCTTGTTTCCAGTGAGAGTTGGACTCTGCCAAGGATGCTCTTTGTCACCCATTCTGTTCATTACTTTCACAGACAGAATCTCCAGTTCAGCCAAGGTGTGGAGGAGATCCACTTTGGTGGCCTTAGGATCTCATCTCTGGTTTTTGCAGATGGTGTGATGCTACTGATCACCAAGTCATGATCTATAGCTTTCACTGGAGTGGTTTCCAGCTGAGTGTGAGGCGGTCGGGATGAGGATCAGTGCCTCCAGAACCTCCAGAGGGTCTTTGGCCGGAAAAAGGTAGAGCACCTTCACCTGGGTGGGGGGAGGAAGGGTCATTCCCCAAGTGGAGGAGTTTAAGTATCTCTGGATTCATGAATGAGAGAAAAATACAGCAGGTCAACAGACTGATTGACGCAGCATCTGCAGTGAAGCGGCGCTGTCCAGAGAGAGCTGAGCAAAAAAAGTGAAGCCCTCGATTTAACGGGCAATCCATGTCCCTACCCTCAACTGTGGTTATGAACTTTGGGTCATGAATGACAGGACAAGGTCATGGATACAAGCAGCTGAAATTAGTTTTCTTTGCAAGGTCTCTGGGCTCTCCCTTAGACAGAACCTCAGTCATACAGGAGGGGCTCAGAGTAGAGCCTCCGCTCCTTCACATTGATGGAGCCAACTGAGGTGGATCCGCATCTGGTGAGGATGGAGTCGCCCTGGTGAGGAACACAGGTCCTGCTGGGAAGAGACCTAGAGGAAGACCAGGACACACTGAAGGGACGATGGTATTCTGCTGGGAACAGCTGGGGAGAGGGAAGTCTGGGCCTCCTTACTGAGGCGGGCGACTCTGGACAAGCGAAAGACGGATGTTTCAGATATTGAGTAGAACTTTAATTTTTCTAGGTTTCTTGCTTTTTAGATGGCTATTTCTATATAATAAATAATAACAAGCAGACTGTTAGTTCATTTCACTTTAATAAGAAAAAGAAAACTAAATAAAAATCTGAAAATAAAAAATACATGGCAAACAGACTCTGAACTGATTATGAGGATAATCATGGTCGCTGATGATACAGTAGCAGTAATAAGTCACCATAATAATAATCAGAAGCAGAATAATAATAATAACAATAATAATAATAATAATAATAGAAGAAGAACTCTATGTTTCCAGATCACTTCTCTGTTGTATAGACATAAGCATGGCGTCGGCCCAGAGGGCGGCGTTGGCGGTCCAGGGCTTGGCGGCCGCCCAGGGCATGGCGGAGGCCAGGGGGTGGCACTGTTTACACGTAGAGCGAAGGAACCCCACAGAGCACGACGAAACCAGGACAGAATCACAGCTCCAACGATTCACAGCACGGCGTGGGAACAAAAAAACCCTTTTCTTCTTTATGGTGAGCGAGGCCGGACGGCGGCTCAGAGGACCGGCTGAGAGGGGCTCGGTTCTGAACGGGTCGGTGTGACAGGGCGACAGGAGAACTGACTGAAGGAGGCTCAGGTCTGGCTGGAGGAACCCAATTGGATCAGAACCTGTTATGTCTAGAAACACACTCAACTACCCTGAATCAGCTCCAGAACAAACGTCAAGGTTCTGAGCGAACTTCATTTCCAACCTGAAAACCCAAAACATTTGGTGCTGGAAAGGGGACAATATTCTAAAGGACCAGAACTCTTCAGGTTGCAAACCCATTTAAGTTGAACATCAGAACCTTTTAGATTCTCATCTTAAAACAGGAACCAGTCAGATTTGTTTTGGTTCTGATCTGCACCATCAGGCACCACTTCCTTCAACAAGCCACCAACAGGAGCTGTACCAGACCGGACCGGTTCAGCCGGTCCACATGGAACAGGACTGGAGATAGGACTGGGAACGCTGGTGTTGATCATGGGATTGGGTCGAACCGGATTCTGACTCCTGAACTTCAGATACCAACAGA